TTTATTTTTAAATTAAAAAACTTTTTAATTTGATTCTTAAATTATTTTACAGACTTAATTTGATCTATTTATTTACTAATTTAATTTTAAGTTGATCTTTTTTATAAAAAATAATTGATATATTTGTTATTTAATAATAAAAAATAATAACTTAACAATCACGTGTTATGTTAATAACGAGATATATTAGTTATTTTTTGTGTAAAAAAATTAACTTGAGATAAATTAATAAACAATAAAACCAAATTAAAATCCATACAATAGTTCAAGAACTAAATCAAAAAATTTTTTAATTTATAAATCAAATGAAAAGTCATATACTCATATAGTTTAAGAATCAAATTAAAGATTTAACATTTCAAATAAAAAAAAAAAAGAAGAAAAAAAGAAAAAACTGTTTTTGTCCCACTGCAAATCCCAAAATTCTGACTCTCCAGTCTCCTCCCATGTATTTTGTTTCTTTCTCCTCCATCTAACGTTTTGGATCTCGTTCTCCTTCTCCTTCTCCGGTCTCCACCCCCATTTCTTTCTTCCCCACAGTAACCGAGTACACCACTCTGACTTCACTTCATCGACAACTTTTTTTTTAAAAAGTATTTTACAGTTAAAAAATAAAAAATATTAAATAATGAGTGTCTTTTTTTTATTTTATTAATTTTTTATTTAAAAATAACTTTAAATTTTAATTAATATAAGATCAAAATACTTCAAATCTTGTAAAAATAAAAACTCTTTTCGTATTTAATTTTTTTATTTAAGAGGTTTAAATCCAAGATCGATCTTAATTAAAATCGAATTTCTTTAACTCAAGTCAATATAAATAATGAGTGTCTCTAATGGTAAAAAAATATCTTTTTATTTAATTATTAATATTTTATAATATGATAATTCTAGATTATGAAACACTGAAGGGGTATATGTTTTTATTTTTTTACATACAATTATTAATTATTAACTTTAATCAAATAAATTAAATATTTTAAATTATAAATAATAATTATTAAAAAATATTAATGATTAATTATTAACTATCACATGTACTTAAATAGTTAATCTAAATAATTTCTAAAGTTTTTTCATAAAAAAAAAAACTTTAAAAATAAATCAGTTATGAATATATGCTACGGTAGGATTTGAGATTGAGACCTTGTGTGTCGGTGAGGAAAGAGGGTGCAGAACATTATTTGTCACTGATGACCATGTGTCGGCGTGAAAATGGGATCACATGCCCCCATTGCTAAAGGTGAT